GTTTCTTCATTCTGTCCTGGTTGAATGTTTATTTCTTCCTCCTGCTCCAAATGGTTGATTTGAGTTCCTGTTTCCTTCCCTTTACTCTTGGTTCCCAGTGTATTTTTCTTTATTTCACTTTACAGAGCCTTCACTTTTTCCTCTCTTTTGTGACTACACTCAACCATTTCTGTGACAATGCTATTACGAACACTCTTATTCATATCATCTGGTGCACATGGGCGTAGGTTTGTCTACACACACACACACACACACACCCCCCATAGTGGATTTGCTGGGCCATAGGACAAGACAATTTTCGTCTTTCCTAGGTCACGCAAAACTGCTTTCCCAAAGTGGTTCTTTCTATTTTTAACTCACATCAGCAATGTAGAGAGTTCCTATTAAGCCATACCCTCATTGATGGAATTCCTTTTTTTTTTTTTTTACCAATCGTATTAGTCAGTGGTGTTATCTTATTGCAGCTCTAATTTATACTTCCTTTATATTAACATGGTTGAGCCCCTTTTAATTTGTCTCATTTGAGTATCCTCATTTGTTCAAGTCTTTTTTTAAAAGATTTTATTTATTTATTTTTAAAGAGAGGGGAAAGGAGGGAGAAAGAGTGGGAGAAAAACATTAATGTGTGGTTGCATCTCACATACCTCCTATTGGGGACCTGGCCTGCAACCCAGGCATGTGCCCTGACTAGGAATTAAACCAAAGACTCTTTGGTTTGCAGACTGACACCCAGTCCACTGAGCAACACCAGCCAGGGCTGTTCAAGTGTTTTGACCATTTCCTATCTGGTTTTCTTTTTCTTCTTGAATCATAGGAATTCTTTATGTCTTTGGGATCTAAGCCTTTTCTTGGTCTAATGTATTGCAGATATCTCTGCCTTTTGTTTGGCTTGTCTTTTCACTCTCCTTATTGTGTATTTTGATGAACTGAAGTTCATATTTTAAATGTAGTTGAATCCATGTGTAGGGGAGGCAAAACTTTACCTCTACCCTCTTAGGTTTTCTGGCTGGGACTGAGAATTAAATTGGCATAAACAGATTAACAAGATAAAAGTATACAGATTTTTACATGTGTCTGGGAGCACCCGGCCAGGAAAGTGAAGTCCCAAAGAAGCAGTTAGAGCCAAATCCATATATACTAAGTTGGACAAAGAGTAGTAAATTATGAAAACGTACCAAGACAAAGGGGCTTGAGCCAGAGAAGTGATTAGGAAAATAAGGGTCAGTTTAACAAGATTTCTTTGTATAGATTTCCTTTGTCCTCAATTCCTGTCTCTGCTGATAAGGATGTTTCTTTCCTCCTGGTATGCAAAGGATACCTTTCCTATTTTTCAAGGTGCCAATCACTGTCCTGGGCACTTTGACATGTGTGTCTTCATTCCTCTTCACCTTTTAGACTCCAGGAGATTCAGAAAAAATGCTTAAAAACAGTATCATATATGCAAAGCATACGCAGAAATAAAATTTCCATTTTCTTCATGATTTAATAAACCCAGCTTCCATATTGTATTTCCAGAAAGATGAGCCTAGGAGGGTTTTTGGAGGATGGTTATAAAAAGGAAGGAACAGATCAAAGTAACAGAAAATGGAATATGCAGTTAATGCAGAAAATGAGTCATGTTTTCAGCTTACATGGCCAAGTTGATGGAGCGCCATTCACTGATGGAGAGAGTCAGAGGTTGGGGGAGAACACCACACAAATTCGGGACTCTTGATTATAAGTGAAAGAAACCCATTGTTTTTATTCACTTCCAATACATTTAAGATTTAAAGAAAAAAGCTGGGGAGTTAAAATGGGTCATAAAAACCAAAGGACCAGGGATGGATTGGTCTTTTCTGAAATTTCCAGAAGAGTTTCTCTAGAACCCACATCCTTCACCACTACTGAATACAGTTGACCCTCGAACAATACAGGTTTCAACTGCCAGGGGTCACTTACATGTGGGTTTTTTCCTCCACACATGCCTGTACTGTACAAATGCAGACTTCCAACTGTTTTCAACTCACAGTTAGAGGTCTGCAGATCTAGGTCATTTTATATGTGGGACTTGAGCATTCTCAAATATGCTGGGGTCCCAGAGCCAACCTTCCATGAATACCAAGGGTATTTAAGGTTGGGGAGAGTGAAAAGTTTTATGTGCAGTTTTGGACTGTTGGGGGTCAGTGCTCCTAATTTCCACATTGTTCAAGGGTCAACTATATTATCATAGCACTAGCCTTTTAAAATTATTACTATTTAAAATTATTTGTCAGTCTATCTTCCTGTTTATTTTTCACCCTGAGCACCCAGCACTTGACACATGGTACTGGGTGCTTTAAAAAATGTGTGTTGGACTGAACTGAATTGACAAATCTTAATTAACTCTGATGGACTTGTAAACTGAGTTCATTCAATATCTTAAAGGTGCAGCTATATTATGAAAAAACAGGGTGGAGGAATTCACTAGCAGGAAAAGTCACAGAACACTTATGCATGGTGTCTGCGAAGGCAAATCATACACTGCTGGTGTACTAGAGTTCCGTGCGGATGGACAAGAGGACAAGGTGGGACCGACACACCTTATTCCGCTTTTTAGAAAGACTTTGGTAGATTTCCACATCAAAGGCTTTTAGAAAAATGGTTTTACCCTGGAATGCTATCATTGTTAGTATTGCTTTAATTTTGTTTTTAAAGTTGTTTCTAGATAACAGAACCAAAGTCGAGCAATGAAGGTTAGGAATAAATGAGATTGTGTAACTAGTGGAGATTCATCTTACTTAAATTTTAATAAATTATCAAGAGGGGGTATGGACAATGGAATTGTTAGTTTCCAAATAACAGCTCTTTCAGTTAATGCGATATTTAGCAGATGAGGACAAAGGCAAAATAATGGAAAATAACGGTAGGTGGCTTTAATTTAGATAAGATTCAATTATGCATTTAGGGGAAGTATAACAGAAGGGAATAGGAGGTGGGCATCTAGAGACAATTCTTTGCTCCTGGTAGCTGGGCCAATTTCCCTTGTATTTTCTCACTTTGAAACAGAAAAAGTCAGCATTTGTGCTGTCTGTCACTACCAGAACCAATAAGCAGAGATAGGGATTGAATATTTATGGGTGCTTTATTCAGATGGCTGGCAATCTGAGAAGATGGTGGATTTGTACCCTAACAGACCATCTTACATTTCCTTTCAAGCCAGCCTTGTTTATAAGGAGCAAAAAGTGTCGGTAAGGGATTTTAAATTCAGAAAAGAAGTTAATCAGGTAAAAGCTGCAGTCTGGCAATTTCCCGAACATCCTTCCATCCGTTGACCAATGATTTTCTATCTGGGTCCTGTGACCTGTGTCCTGTGTGATTTTCTTTATCTGTGTCCTGGAACACAATGGCTCAGATACCATCTTGATTGCTTACGGTCTCTTCTGGAGCACAAAGGTCAATCGCTTGTGGTCTCCCGGAGTCAGGGTGTGCTGTATGTACGTTCAGTTCCTGAAACAATAGCATTTTCTATGCACTAACTACTAAGCTTATTAACTATTACCTAAAACTAAAATTTTCTACCTCTTGAGTTCCCCCTTCCACTTTTCCATGAACGCTTGTCTGTTGTCCACATCTGTGTACTCAGTTGGAGAGAACCTTACCAGATGGAGGGGATTCTTTTTCGGACAAGGGAATACTAGAGTCTCTGCTCATAATCTACAAATATTCAAGGATTGTTGTAGGGGGAAATGCGTGCAGTGAAAGGGGAAAAAAATGAATACAAACTGGAAAGAGGTGTCTTCCCTGGGAAGTAGAGAGGTGATGAATGAGCACAAGAAAGATATAACAAATCTGAAAAAAGTATAGACAAAAGCAATGATCACATTCAAAGAGAAAGTCCTTCCATTGAAGGATGTCAAAAAACTTAAATCTTCCAACTAGATATGAAGTGTATAAAAAAAGTCAGACCAAGAGATGCTTAAAAACACATCACAAAATTTGAAATTGCTCTTATCCTTTGAAGTTTAGAGGTGGTCTGAGAACAACAAAAATACTGGGTGTGACTTAAAAAACTTGTTCCTCAAAGGGTGAGGAAAGTCAAAAATGCAAATACTTTAAAAAAGGGTTTTAAATAAATTCCCAGAGGACAAATACATTTTATATCGCTAAGGTCTATCAGAGAACTGTGACGGGTAATGGCCCCATGACCAATATCAAAATGCCTGGGTTCTAGTCTTGGTTTGCCTACGTATTAGTGCGACGTATATGCCTCTGGGCAACGGACTGGGTATTTCGAAGCCTGTCTCGACTACCTCAAAGGGTAGTTTTAGTGTTCAAACGAAGCCTTGTATTTAAGTGTTTTGAGAACTGTAAGATGATCCATAAATACAAGGTGTTCTTGTTATTGCATTGCTGAAGTTTTGCAAACTTGCAAACAGTGGGCATCAAGGCAGTTTGGCTCTCCCACTGGCAACTGTGGGCTTTCATCAATTCTCGTCCCCCGTTCATGAGGGTGCCTTGTTAGGAAAAACTTTTCAGAATCTTTAAGATTTTTTGACTAGCGAGGTGGTGTCTGTAAAAGTACCACGCAGACATGGCTTAAGATAAACTGCCAGACACCAAGAACGTCCGAAAGGACTTAGCAGAAGAGCAGTCTCCTCTTTTGAGGTTGATGCATTGTGTGCGATCAATCAGGCCGCCAAATGGAAACAGGAATTGGTTGAACTAGTGGTCCGGTAACGTAGTTATTATAATTCCATTCTGATATGATTTGTCACCATTTCCTGGAATAAGCAGGAAGTGGCAACGTACTTCAAACTCCGAGCGCCCAGCGACCCAATCCCGGGCGCGGAGGGGGAATAATGCGCGCGCACTCGGCTCCTTCGGCGCCTACGGCTCCCGGGTGCCGCGAACGCGCCTCCCCGGCCGGCCCGGTGCGCGAGCCGCCGACGGCCCACGTGATCCCGAGCGCGTCGACGGCGGGAGAGGGAGGGTGGCCGGGCCGGTTCTGCAGCGCCGCGCAAGCGCCCCAGGGCGGCGCCGAGCCGAGCCCCGCCTGCTCCCTCTAGGAGTCAAAATGGCGGCGAGGGGAACCCGGAGCAGTCCCGGAGCCTGAGCCACTGACAGGAGAGGAGAGGGCGGCGGCAGGAGGAGGAGGATGGCTGGGGGTGCTGGCGCCGGTGCGGACGGCGGTGCTGGTGGCCGCGGCGGCGGAGGCGATGGCCGCGGTCCCAGCGGCGGCAGCAGCAGCAGCAGCAGCAGCAGCGGCGGGAGGAGCCTCCAGGGTGAGTGTCCCTCGGTGTCTCTGAGGCTGTGAGCCGAGGCTGTGCCCGGCGCGGCGCGGGGCGTCCCGGAGAGGAAGGGGCTGTACTTGGGCGGAGAGGCGGCCGTTTTGGGGCCGGGCCACCGCAGGAGGTGCCGGGCCGCCAGCGGGGAAGGGACAGTCGTCCGTCCGGGCGTGAGGCGACGACAGCGTCGGCGAACTGGCCGGTCCCCGTGCACTCCGAGGGCGGGCTTAGCTGTGCGCCGCTGTCCCGGGGGCAGAGGCTCGAGGTGTGGCGCTCGGGGCGGGGAGAGCAGCCTTCGGTGGCCGAGGCTGCAGCGCCGCGGGCTCCAGGCTCGGGGCTCCGAGGGGCGGGACCCGCCGCTCCCAGGACGCCAGGAAACCGCTCCCGGGACTCGGGCGCGTGTTTACCCGGCTGCGGGGCTGCGACTGGCCCGGGGTGGACGTGAGAGCGGCTGGCCGGAATTGAAGAGGGAACAGGCCCGTAGACTGCCGCTCCCAGGGGGAGAAGTTGGACTGTGCGGGTAAGTTTCTGTTTAGGGATCAGATTGGAATTGCGCTTTGACAGGTTGGAAGGGAAACAATACCGAGTGTTTGATGAGGGAGTCTGTGCTTGGAGTACTTGAATGGCTAAAAGCGTGCCATTTTCTGTGTGTTACCATTCGCACAACTGTTTACTGCCCTTACCCCGGGCAGGAGAACTTTCTCACCGGTGGTGGTGGTGGTGGTGGTTTTTTTTTTTGGAGAAGCCGTGAGTGTTCTTTCTCTGCTTTGAACTACAATGACGCGTCTTCACACACCAGTACAGATAATAAGTACTCTGGATTAGGCCTAATTTACAGAAGCAGTCTTGGTTATCTTTACTGGAGCACTGTTTCCTCTGCGAAAATATCTTACTGTAATGAGGACATAGGCATTTACACAGAATTGCTTAGTTTTTTTTTCAACTAACAGAGTCTTCTGTCTTTGACCGGCATCCATTTCTTCTAGATTGCTGAAATAAATTACTTTCTTCCGGATATGTGAAAGAAAGATTTGAAATTTTAAGAATCACACATGTTAATGGCAGCTGTGGTTGAACTTGTCTTGGATTTTGGAGTCAGAAAACCTTTAGGGATGTGGTGAGACTCGCTTCAGAGCTGGGTAGCTGGGCACAGGGAGGTAAGCGGCTTAACTGTGGGTCCCGCAGCTGGCCAGGGAGGGGACCAGCACTCGGACCTAGGCCTCTCTGCCCCGTTGCCCGAGCTCCTCGCTGCACTCCTGATCCTTATTCATGGGTTGCATCCTTCACCATCAGCACCCATTCCCGGGTCTTTGTGTAGTCAAGTTGAAAGCAGAAATGGGAGAACCTGGCTCTGATTCTGACAGCTGCCATGAGTTACCATCAGTAACTGATGATGATTTTTTTTTTTCCTAACCTGAACTTAATAAGAGCTGACATTTAAAGTTTTCGTAGGCCTGTGACTACATTTTTGCCTGATTATAGCATGCATGGCTCATTCTTGCATGCATTCAGTAAAACTCAAAGATCAATGTTCTGTCCCACAACCTAACTACTGTATTATTGTGTCCCAACAACAGCATATAAACAATTTTTTTCTATCAATCTAATTTTAGGCTTTAAAACACCTGTTTTGTGTTTGCCGCGTTAAAACACCTAGTTTCCATGTGTCTTATTGAGTCACAGCAGTTTTCTTTGTTGTGTCACAGGTTAACCTTTAGAAATATAACAACATTGAATGATTCTGATTTCATAATCTAGTCAATAAAATGCATTGCATCCAAAGTTGTACCTTGTGTTCAATTAAACAGCTGATCTGCCTTGTGTTTTGCGTTATACTACAGGAAAAAAAGAAGAGCGGAACATGTAGACTTTACCCTCAGGAAAATGAGCTGAACCTCTATGAGTCTAGAGAAACCTAGTAAGTTCTACCAATACAAAGAGTGCTGTAGGTGTTCTGGTTAGCGGGAGATGAATGAGGCGTCGGGAGTCTAAAGAACTTCCTGGAACACTTGGGACTTGAGCTAGCCTTTGAGGGTTTAGATTTACAGAGAGATTGGAGCAGTTACTTCGTGAGGTAAAAGCAAGAGTAGAATGTGGAGATTAGCTTTTGGGGGAGGGGTATGGAAGGAAAGTAGGATGAGCTGACTGCTGAATTTTGGGGGGTACCACAAGGAAAACACTAGGTAGTTGGAAGACACCTGTCTGCATAAGAGATTGAATACTGGATTGAGGAGATTGAGATTTTTTGAATTGAATTTATTGGGGTGACATTGGTGAATAAAATTATATAGGTTTAAGTTAATAATACATCATCTGTATGTTGTATTGTGTGTTCACTACTCCAAGTCATAATCTCTTTCCATCACCATTTATTCCCCCTTTACCTTCTACCTTTCCAACCCCCATTTTCCTCTGTTAATCACCATACTGTTGTCTGTCTATGAGGGTTTTTTTGTTTTTCTTACTCCTTCACATTTTTCACCCAGCCCTTCTACCCTCTCCCCTCTGACACCTGTGAGTCTGTTTCTATTTTTGTTTTATTTTCATTAGATTCCACATATAAGTGAAATCATATGGCATTTGTCTTTCTTTGGCTTATTTCACTAGGAGATTTAGATTTTGCTCCTCTTTTGCAAGGTATGGGGAGCCTTTGAAAGTTTGGAGGCCAGACATTAATGTGATAAACTAACAAGATGTACCTGTCTTATCTATAGATTGAGTTAGAATGAGAAGAAAGTGAAATAAAGCAGGGTCGACAGTAGCTGTTACAGTTACCTGGATGTGAAGAGATGAGATCTTGGACTAGGATAGAGTCAATAGGAAGGATACACAGCAGGTGCTATTTTTATTTTTATTGTAATTATAACATAAAATTCCATTTTAACCTGTTTTAAATCTGTAGTCTGCAGCATTAAGATTGTTGTGCAACATCACCACCATCCATCTCCAGAGCTCTCATCATCTTCCCCAACAGAAATTCCGTGCCCATTAAACACTAACTCGCCATTTCCCTTTACCCACAGCCCCTGGCAACCACCATTTTACTTTCTATCTCTGAATTTAACTACTCTGGGAACCTCATATAAGTGGAATCATACAATATTTATCCTTATGTGACTAGCTTATGTCATTTAGCGTAATATCTTCTGTCTTGTGGCATTTGTCAGAATCTGCTTTATTTTTAAGGCTGAATACTATTCCATTGTATGTATTACTACACTTTGTTTATGCTTTTATCTGTCAATGGATATTTGGTTTGCTTCCATTTTTTGTTGTTGTGAATAATGTTGCTTTGAGCCCGGATGTGCAGATATCTGGATATGTGCTTTCATTTCTTTTTGATATATACCCATAACATATTTCATTCTCACCAGCTCTGTATAAGGGTTCCAGTTTTTACACATCCTCCTCAGCACTTATTTTATTTTTATAATAGTCATCCTTATAGGTGTGTAGTGGTTTCTCATTGTGTGTGTGTGTTTTAATTAATTTTAGAGAGTGAGAGAGGAGAGGGGGGAGAGAGGGAAAAAAACATCACTTTGCTCTTCCACTAATTTATGCATTCATTGGTTGATTCTTGTATGTGCTCTGACCTGGGATCGAACCTGCAGCCTTGGCATATCAGAAGGACGTTCTAACCAACTGAGCTATCTGACCAGGACTCACAGTGGTTTTGACTCGCATTTCACTGACGATTAGTGTTGTTCACATCTCTTTTGCTTATTAGCTTTTTGGGTCCTCTTCTTTGGAAAAATATCTATGTAAATTATTTAAGTCAAGTTATTTGTTTTGTTGTTGGTAGTTCTTTATATGTCCTGGATATCAGTCCCTTATCAGATATATGATAGGCAGGTATTTTCTGCCATTCTTTCCATTGCCTTTTCAATCTGTTGAGTGCCCTTTGATATACAAAAGTTTGAAATTTTAATGAAGTCTAACTTATCAAACTTCTCCACTCTAAAAAGAAATAGGCAAGTGAGTTTTTTAAAAAAGAGGTATCTTTTAAAGAAATGAGGTGAGATTTTTCTTTTTAAGTTAATGCTAGTATAAAGAAGTTATCAGAGTCCAAAATTTCAGAGAGGCATAATTTACTTTAGCTTTATAATAAAAGTCAAACATCCAGTACCTACTTTATTTGCAAAACAAGTTAAAAAAATATTTAATGTACTCTGCAGTGGTTTTTAATTTTTCTTAATATTTTGATGGTCTGTAAGTTTGACATTACAAATTGTTTTTCACAACATCCTTACTATCTTAAATAACAGGTTATTTAAAGTTTTATGATTGGCACTAAATTCATGTAGTGAACATTATGTTAAGATTGGGATAAATAGGAATCATCTTAATACAGTACACACAACATCCTTTAAATCACAGAATTCAAAAAAAGCCCCCTTCTTGAGCATTGTTGGGAGTATTTATATAGTTGTAATGTAATGGAACGGGACTGGGGGATTCAAACCTACATTCAGATTCTGACGACTGTCTATGTGAACTTAAGCAAGCCGTTTAATCTGAGGCCTAATTTTCCTGATCTGTAAAACTAAATAAATAAAACATATGTACGTATTATGTATGCATAAGCAGTGCCTTACGTAGCAGCTTTGCCACCTTTTAAGTATTTATTCCATCCTTTTCCTCCCTGTTACCACTTCCTTACTAGTCAGGACTATTTATTGAACAGCCTACCAACCAAGTCTCTGCCAATTGTTCTCTCATTCTCCCTCTTTTTCTCTGGCTATTCTTTATGTTGCTACCATAGTTACATTTCTTAAAAAAATGTATTGGAGCATGTTACTTCCCTACTTAAACCTGTGTTAACTTTCCATTGTCTATAGGATAAAGTTCAAATTCACAAGTTTGAGACCGTGTCCAACTTAGATTTCCCATCACTCCAGCCATACCAAGCTGCTTCTTGTTTTCTGTGCTTGTAGTTTTCATGTTTGTTCCAGTGTTTGTCATTCAAGAGACTGAGATGATTCATCACCCACCCCCAG